CGCGCCGCCGCGGGCGAAGGCGCGGTGTACCTGGTGCGGCACGGGCAGTCCACCTGGAATCTGGCCGCTAAGCGCTGGGACCTCTGGACCATGTTCTCTCAGGCGAGCGGAGAGAACGGCTTGGAGTGAAGACTTCTCGAGAAAGCTTCCACCCCGGGCTCGAGTCCGAGCGTTGGATCCGGGCCTCTAGGGATTGGGAGAAGCTCATGGTGTCCTTTTTCTGGGTGAGTTTGGTTGGAAATAGATGGGTTCCGCTGGGTTTTGGGTTTCATGCTCCAGACACGATCTATTTTTCCAGGTTACGTCAAGAGGATTTTCCCATGGAATGACCCCAAGAGAAACCATCCTCTATGGTTTCCCTTTTATGGGAACCCCCGTCGGGGGATGAGGCGTTTTGGCTAGGGCCGTTGTTGTTTTTACTGGGGCAGTCTCGGCCCGAGCCCCTCCCAGTGGTGAGACTGGGTCGGCTAGACGCTCGGTGATTGCACTCATGGCCCCGTGCTCCTGGTTGGACAATGCCGTTCCCGGCGGCATCTTCACTGCTCATGGAGGGTGGCTTCGCCCTGGACCTCGTGCAGGCGCGGGTGCTCCACAACAGCCAGATCATGTGGCTGCCTGAGCACCTCTTTCGGGACTCCCACCTGGTGACGCTCTACAGCCTCAAGGTCACCTTCGTGCCGCGCCCCCCCTTGGGGAATCCGCGCCATCGCCCACATGGATTGGAACCCGCTGTTGCGAACAACGTCCTGCTAGAAAAATATCTGTGATGATGCTCGGCTTCCCATGTCAGCCATACTCTCGATCAGGAGATAGACAAGGACCAGAAAGTGCCCGGGCCTTCACCTTTTGGGCAACACTCAAGGCATGCTGGCTCATGCAATCATCAGCACTTATTCTTCAGTGTGTGGTCACAGTGGTATCATTTGCATGCGTTGCTTCGGCAGCGGCGGCTGGGTCTTCCATCACTTGCCCGCGTAGCACATCCGGGGTAGCATCAATGCGATCCCGCCACGGATGCTCCTCGATTTGCCCGTTCAAGTTCTTGTGCCTGACGCATGCGTTCTTCCTCGGTGATGTCACTCCAAGGTGCGCGAACCTTGGGCGGCGGGTCCGCCGCAGTCTCATGCGTATGCGATGCTGCAGGGAGTTCTTCCGGCGCATGCTCAGGTGTGGTAGGCAACGCAGGTGCCGGCGCTTTTGCAAGCGAGGCTGGAGGCGGCTTGCTCTTTGGCGGTTTCGGCGCGTCTGCTCGAAGATCGAGAAGATCAGTGGCATATGGCTGGTGATGCCTGATGCGAAGCAGGATGCGCGCTCCGTGTGATGCGGGCGCGGCAGAGTGTGCTGGTGACGATGCTTGCGAAGGGTTCATCAATGAATGCATGGATGACCTGCCGGAGGAACTCGGGATTGCTCCTGTTCTCCTCCAACAACTTCTCCAGGTTGTTGTCCATGATGCAAGGCGAGTGCATGCACGCTGGGAGGCAAGACGAGACTTTGCGCTGTAGCAGCAATGGCTGAGACACCCACAACAAAATGCACATGTCAGGTCTTGTGAACTGCGCATTTCACAATGAACATGCAGTGCAAAGTGCAGAAGGGCACTTGGCTGAGTCGCAGCATTGTGAATGCCCAGAGGTCAAGCCTGAGCTTGGCATTCCAATGCAGCAAAGAATATGCATGGCTTGCGGGACGCAAGTTAAACAGCGCATCTCCTTTCCGCACAAAAAATGTTGCAATGCGTTATGACGCCAGTGCAGGCCTGTCTCTGAACCGGAGCCCTTTGCGTCTCGGTCAGGTAGGGTACAGTCAGGTACCAGGCAGACACGCGGTAATTTACAAGCTCTGGCAGTGTATTAAAACTTGATGCAATATGGTGCACTGTGCCTGTGCGATGATGCCCGCGTCAGTCCGGAGGGGATTGAGGAGATGCCTGGTGCTCATGTGGTGCAGGACGGGGCAAGCAATGCGGCCATTCGTCGGCTAAGTCCGTCAATTCATGGCGCCTGTCCGACCACTGCAAAAAATGTGCACTGCGAGGCAAGTGCAACACACTGATGTATGCTTTTATGCTTTCCAACAACGCGATGCTGGAGCGGACGACCAAGGCAATGTCCAAGTATGCCTCCCATTCCTGGAGCAGTGCCAAGCTGGGTTCCATGTGTGCATGCGTGATTGGATCGAAATTTTGCATTCACAAGTAATGCGGAGAAGGGCTGAATGACTGCAAGGTATTTTCCTGCCATACGGTAGCCTGGCTCCGTTTGCGTTTTTCAAGCATGCCGTCCACATTGATCTGCGGGTCTATGCTCAAGTAGTCAATGAAAAAGGTTGTCAACGTATGCATGCGTGCGATACTGAACGTCATGTCGCGCACACCCAGGATGCACAATATGTCAAGCAAGAAATTGGCCAAATGTGCCATGCGGCTCATGCGTGCCAATCGGTCATTGTGTTCAGGGCGACGCAGCCAAATGCCCATCAAGGATGCGAACCCTTCTTGCATGGTTCGTGAGGGCGATGCATCGATGCGATGGTGCTGAGGAGGTGGCACTGTCTCGAGGTCTTCAATGGCGTCCAAGCCTGCGGACATGTTGCCGCGGGGAGCAAAACAACTCGCAAAATTGCAGGTTTTTTTTTGAGCCGCAAATCTGAATCGCGTCAGTTGCACGCAGGATGGGCAAGATGCACGTGCGCTTTGGGTGCTGGTGAGCTTAGGCCTGTGCTTGCGTAACGTTGGCGAAGAAGGACCTGGGCGAGGCAACACAGCTGCACAGGCTGGCACAGTTTAGAGAGCATGGCAGTACTCTTTTGCTGCAATGCGGGCATGAACAGTGGGTGCGATGCGCGCTTGGCTGTCTGCCATTAGAAAATTATGAAAGTGATAAAATCACTGAGCGAAGGCAAGCTGCGAATCCAGTAGGTATGCGATCACGCCGATGCACAGCGATGGCCTTGATCCACATGCGTATGCACACCACGGAGTAGTGTATCTCTCCCAGAAGGTACTCCACATCCAGGTAGCTTCGCGCCACCATGCGATGCAACGCGTCCAGGATGTTTTCGTCATCCATGATTTGATGCGTTGCCTGGACGTCGCCCGATCACTATCCTTGACCCCGACAACAGCACCTTCGCCCACTTGGATACCTCATTCACTACGAGCTATCTTTCTCAAGCTTGGCGCCTTCCACGCCGCTCACTTCAACAGGTCACTTTCTTTCCCCAGCACGACGACTTCACCTGGCACTATCGCCCTTGCCCACACACATTACCAGTCCATCCTCTTGGCCCACTTGGAGATCCTTGACCAACGTTTTGCGAGGAGCAGACCTTGGCCCAGCTCACTGACCTGCTTGTCAGCAAGGGAGTGCCCAGGGGGCGTGCGCCTGAACGAGCCCAACAATCTCTTTGCAAACTATCCCTTTCCGATGTCCACACCGCCTGGAACTCGAAGCGCCCTTGGGCATGGCCTGCCGTCAACTTTCAGTGGATTCGTCCTCTCCAGTCCCTGATGACCTTGACGTTTCCTGGCTGAGGATGTCCAACACGTTGCGTGCCCATCCTATGTTTGGCTGCTCAACACGACCCTTCCGGATGCCCGCCACAAGCTCAAGACTACCGATAAAGCGGTGTCCATCACGCGCTTCAACGATTGGTATGGCATCCCTTTCAACAAACAGTCCCGGCACGTGGACATCATGCCCTGCCACATTACCTGACTCAAAAGCCTGTCCAGCCGCCGGCTTGGACACCGACTTAGACTTGACCTTCCAACGTATGGGTTCCTGCCACGCCGAGAGACATGTCAGGCATGGCCCGTTTCAAGTTATGACCGAGCTTTGTGAACAACAAGAACGCCCACTACTCGGATACGTCAGTGACGCATGTACAGCATTCAACCATCTCCCTTGCCAACACGTCCAAGCACTCGCTCGCCATGCTGGGATGCCTGACTCCTTTGTCAAGGCGTGGCGTGAGCTGCTGGCCACTTCCGGGCCCGGGACTCCATCGCCAAGGCTGTGCTCTCCAACAGCGGCTACCCGGAAGGTTGTGCACTCAGCTGCGTCGCTCTTGATTACTGAAGCCCTCCACCGCTACCAGGCAGTTTATGCCCCGGCATTTGTCTGCATTTCTTTTGTTGCCAACATTGAGCAAGTCGCCCACTCTCTTGTGGCGACCATCTGACATCCATCATCACTCAGGAAACCTTCCTCACGCTCTTCCAGCTTGACATCGACAAGGCCAAGACTTATGCCTGGGCGCTCAACTCCAAGGATCGCCAAGCACACTACAACAGAACGCAACCTGCGCGCATCATGACCTCAGCAAACAAAAACGCACAGCCATTCACAACCAGATCCTTCTTCGCATCCGACCATCCTGGCAACAGCTTCGTGGCTCCAATATGCCGGCTCACTGCAAGCAACTTGTCGTCTACCAGGCTGCCTGACCCCAGCTTCTACCAGTTGTGGACCATCATCCAGCATTCTCAAGACGCCCTCAGTCCTGCATTTGTGGGTACACTGGCCATCTTGGTGGAAGATAGAACAGCCTCCGCTCCTCGATCATGACGACGTTCTCCTCAACCTGTGCCTCATCTCTGGCAACACCCTCTACCAACTGCTGGAAGATGCCTGGCATCAATTGCTTGCTCGCGGGGTGCAACATCGGAACGATTACGGAGGTCTGCGAGGTGTCAATCGCCGGCTTTGCCGTCGGACTGTTCGGTCACTCACGGCCTTGGAGGCAGCCAGAGGCAACACCTTGCGGGGGGCCTTCAACACGACTGCTCAGAAAACCCGCTTTGACAACCTCGTCACAGGTATGTGTTGTGGTGTCCCGGACACTGCTGAGCATTGTTGCCTTCACTGCACAGCTCTTCGGCACGTTCGTGGGCAACTCCTGAAGCGCGTCGGCTATCAAGGCCGCGCTGTTTGACATTCCCATCACTGGCGAATTTTCCCTGACGGCTCACGCAGTACGGGGTCGCTGCGGTTGGCTGGATGGGCGGCAATTCGCATGAGGAAGTGCGTTTGCAGGTTGGCCTCAAACGATCAACCGAGCCGAACTCACCAGTGTGGTTGCCGCGGCTCAGTGGATCCAAGGTCACCGGCTGCGTGTGGACGGACTTGTCCCATGTGGCCCGAGGAGCATGGCGTGAGGACCTTTAGCTTGTGCTTCGCTGTGTGCCACAGGACCTGCCTGGGCGGCCCTGGGCGGTTCTTTGTTCGACATGTCCTTGAACATCAAGATCAACTACAATGTGACAACCCAGTTGAATCCTGGACAGCTGACTGGAATGACCAAGCCGACCTCGCCGCTACACCGAACTCCGGCCTTTCAATCCAGCTGGCAGCGCTTTATCGAGCGGTTGAGCTCACCGTGAAAAAGACGCTGCTCGCGTTCCAGGACCTGCGGAAGCACTCCAACAACGTCAGCCAAGTCACGAAGAAGATGAGGATGAGGATCTGGCTACTGGGGCCGGCCCAATCGCGCAACGTGCTGCCGTAGCCGGCAACTGGCTTGAGCAGCTTCAGCATAGCTCTCAAGGGCATCAATTCGTTTTGAAGTGTGGGCTTGATTTCACAGCCAAAACTGTTGCATGGCTTTGTGCTGAGCATCAGAGTGCCGAAGCATATGCTCACCGCTTTTGGTTGGAGCTCGTTGTTGCTTTGCGTAACGAGGGGATTTCTTTTCCGGTATTGACTCCTTCCCAACAAGGAGAGATTTGGCAGACTCACGTGTCCAAACCACTGTTGCTAGTGATTTGCGGTTGGTTCGTGCTTTTTTTCCGCCTGTTCCCTTCGGTTTGTCACTTGGACATTGGAGAGGTCCGCGGACTCAATTTGAGCCGCGTTCGGATTGCCCCGCCTCAGGCAGGTCTTTCAATGCCCCTCAGCAGTAGGGTGCTCCGGCTTGTTGAAGCCTCGCTGTTTGCTTTTACAGCATCTCGGCCCGTTCGCGCAGCGAACGATTTGTGCCGGCCTCTTTAGAAAGGACTTGGCCCACCAGTGGCCTGCTTCGCCGTGCACGGGCCCAGAGCGAGTTCGAGCGTTTCTGGGTTGGTTGGTTGGTTGGTTGCTGATTTGATTTAGGGTGGGTTTAGGCTGGCTTAGGTCTTCATGAGGGCTGGGCGGGTTAGCTCCAGAACCAATCCTAAACGAGACCAAAACTCACGCAACCACATCCCTAAATCAACCCTTGGCGGGTGTCCATTTTTGAGAGTCCCTTTTTAGAAAAGCATGTTGGGTGAATGGCACCTCATTCCTTCCCCTCAGCTTCAGGTGGACCATCCGCTCACCGCCGAGGGTTTGAAGCAGGCCCAAGACCTGCGCGTCCGCATGAGAGAGGCAAGGCCCTCGATCGTGGAGGTTGGGTGTGGGTCAAAATTGAGCAGCAGGGTTTTGGTCCATTTTTCCATTTAGCAGGGATCGATTTGGGTACCTATTTTTGACCCACAGGTATTGGTGATACTGTGGATGGTTGCGACACCCTCTGGGGCACCACTTTGAAGCCATGGTTGAAACCATGTGTTTGTTGGTATTGACAGGGGAGTCGAATCATTCTAGCCTAGAATGGTGGTGCAGGATTTCGTCCACCCGCAGCAGGGAACGCCCTAAACGTGGGAAAGCAAAACACTTTGATTGACACACATCACCGCTGCGCGAACAAAAACGTTTCGGAAGACAACATGGCGTTTGTGACCCCAATTTTGAAGGATGATTGAGGTGCGGATTTCATGGTGGTTTGTTTGTCTTGATCCGTTTCGTTGGATCATACCTCCAAAACCTACACCTGGAAATCTCCAGAAGGGGAGTTGCAGTGGAGCCCCTTGGTTGACGAAGTTTCCCTGAGCCAACTGCCAAAGCAAAGAGTGACCTTTTCTCCATGGCCACTGCAGGTTCGGGGAATGAGACCCGCGCCAATTACATCTAGCTCTTCTTAACTAAGATGAAATGTGATGCCTCTCCAACCATAGACCTGCCTTGATCGCATCCCCAGTGGCCAGAAGTAAAGTTTCAGGGTGAACGTGGATGTCGGTGGCCAACTGCATCTTTTGGAAAGGGCTTGCCCAAACTCAGTCACACTACCCGTCAGCAGTGTGGAAGGTTGGTAGGACGACTCGGGCCCTATAAAGACGCCGTCTCTGGGCGTGCGGTTGCGCTGCCTGTGCTCTGCTGTGCCGTGCTCTGCTGTGTGCCGTGCCGTGCCGAGCTTGGGCGGGTAGGTGTTGGTGCTTGCGCCCGCGGGCGCGGACGCGCGACCATGCGTCCGCGCAAACACACGCCCGCGCGCACACACACACACAAAGCACAAACACAAGAACAAACACAAATACACACCCAAACGCAAACGCAAGCAGAAGCAGAACCAGAACCAGAAATAGAGACAGAAACAGAGACAGAAACACAAACACAAAAGCAAGCACAATCATAAGCACAAGCACAAGCACAAGCGTAAACACAAACACACACACACAGACAATCACACACACAAACGCAGAAACACACACAACCACGCAAGCGCACAAGCACAGACACAAGCACACAAGCACACAAGCACACAAGCACACAAGCACACAAGCACACAAGCACACAACCACAACCGCACAAAGACACAAAGACACAAGCGCACAAACTCAACCACACAAAGACACAAAGACACAAAGACACAAAGACACAAAGACACAAAGACACAAAGACACAAAGACACAAAGACACAAAGACACAAAGACACAAAGACACAAACACGCAAACACACACACACACAAACACACAAGCGCACAAACACAGACACACACACACACACACAAGTATCACAAACACAAAAACACAACACACAGACCACACAAGCGCACAAACGCAACACACCCAGACACACACACACATACAGCACACAAACACACACACACAGCCACAAACACACAACCACAGGCGCACACACACAACCAAACAAACACACAAGCGCACAAACACACAAACACATACACTTAAACACAGAAACACGACAAACACACACACAAACGCACAAACACACAAACACGCAAACACGCAACCACGCAAACACGCAAACACACAAACACACAAATACACAAACATACAAACACACGAAGTACAAAGACACGAAGACACAACGACATACACACACACACGCGCAAACACACAAACAAACACACAAACACGCAAACACACAAACGCACAAACACACAATCGCACAGCCATGCCAAGGCCTAAAGACACAAACGCACAAGCGCACAAGCACACAAACACACAAACGCACAAACACACACACACACACCACCACCCACCCACCCACGCACGCATGCGCACCTGCGCCGCGCCTGCGCTGCGGCCTGCGCTGCATGCCCACGCGCACGCTGCGCACACGCACACACCCTGCACACGCACACGCTTCACTAGCACACACACCGCACGCACCGCAACCGCACCCGCACCCGCACCCCACACCCACACCACACCCACACCCACACCACACCACACCCACACCCACACCCACACCCACACCCACACCCACATACGCCAACACCCTTACGCACACGCACCAGCCCTGCGCACGCCCTGCGCACACGCACGCACACGCCCACGCCACATACATGCCCATACGCCGCCCATGCATACGCCACCGCCACGCCCACCGCCGCACGCGGCGCGCGGCGCACGCGCAGCGCACCGCGCGCATTTTTTGCGCTGCATGTGAACAAGCGTGAACACAAACGTGAACACACAAACACACACACACAAACTTACACAAACAATAAACCCCTCAATTCACGCGCTCACACACACAAACACACAAACACACAAACACACAAACACACAAACACACAAACACACAAACACACAACCAGACAAACACACAAACACACACACACACAAACACACAAACACACAAGCGTACGAACACACGAACACACACACATGAACACAAACATGAACACAAACATGAACACAAACATGAACACAAACACACACACAAACTTACACAAACAAAGAACCCCCAAATTCACGCGTTCACACACACAAACGCCCAGATGACCACACACACACACACTCACAGGAACACGCCCACGCAGCACACACACACACACACGTGGACACACACTCAGACACCCGCACACCCGCACACACACACATACGCACAACCTCCCCCCCACCCCTCAGGTTGGAAATAGGGGCTCCAAATATGAACCTGCTACGTTCCGAATATGGATCTTTCCGATGAGGCGTGAATAGAGGTCGAAGACCAAACATGTATGTGAGCAGTGTTTGGTTCAATGGAAGCTTATGATGGTCAGGTCATTGATGTGGCGGCTGAGTTCCTCTTCAATCTCCAGCTCGTGGTTCTGTGAGCATCTGAGGTACATCATCTTGGGCGTCAACATTGAGGAAGTTCTGATGTTTTCTCTAGTTCCTTGTCTGTCTCTTCGTTCATCTTCCGCTGCTCATCCGGGCAGTGTCGCTTTCCGGAGCCGTGTCGTCGCCAGTTGCTCCATATGCGCCCGCGTAGGCGTATCTTGGCCGTCGGGGTGGATGGTAGGATCTGTCCTGCTCCTGGATCGAAATCTTGATCTTGATCGTAGTGGTTAAATGTGGATAGCAGGAGGCCTGAAATCTGCGAATGGCATGTCGGACATGTTGCCGAACAGGATTTACTCGGTTACGTCACGTCCACGAAGTGGTCTTCCTTTCTTGTCATGAGCCAATATGCTGCCCTTACCAACTTTATACCGAAACCAACTAACACGGAGGCAAACAAGCGTTAATCGATAAGTTGATGGTTTCACTCATGTGAGGCCGTTCCATAGACGCCCATTAACCTGACATCCTGTTTTCGGAAAACCTGCTCCGCTACCACAATTCAAATTGGAAATAGGGGGCTCCGAACATGAACCTGCTAGGTCCCAAATATCGATCTTTTCCGATGAGGTGCCAGGTGTAAATGTTGTAGGCAGTGTTTGGTTTCGAGCGGAAACCAATGAGTGCAAGTACCGGAACGCAGTAAGGAGGTGAAAGCGTTTTCACTCTAGCTCATGAGATCACCAGACCTTGAGCCAACGGCAATGGATAATCACACGCGAGTGGATCTTTGGAATCAACACAGAACAAGAAACCGGGCAACAAGCTTGCCGCCCGTCCGATTCGGTTGCTTGCCAGCACACACTCCTGCGTGCCAGCCCTCATGCGCGCGCAAAGGTAAACATGTACACCCACACAGACCCACACACTGCCACGCGCACACGCACTCGCACATTTACACGTGCGCGCGCATGCTCCCGTGCACAAATGCACGCACGCACGCGCAGACACACATACACACACACACACCAACATCCCCAACCAACCAACCAACCACCAGCACGCATGCGTGCGCGCCTACGCATGCTTGCAGGCACGTACGCGCGCACATATGTGCGCGCGCTCTCGCAGCACGCATGCAAGCGTGCGCAAGCGCGCAGATCATAATGCCGACTCTGCCACACGCGCGCTCAACCACGAACACTTGTGTCTACTCGCGAGAAAGAATGGTCGCACACTGAGGCACGGGCTGGAACACACATGTGTGTACACTTGAAACATACACGTGAATATGTGCGGAGCATGCGCGACGGACACACACACACACACATGTGCACATATGCGCTGACTGCGCGCACGCAAGCGCATGAGCGCGCAACTGAGTTGAAGAAGAGCATTGCATGTGGCTCCTCGAAAGCCGTTCTCGCGATCTCCACCCCGCGTCCTCTGAAAACACAGTTGTTTGTTTACCAGATTTCGTTTTATTTTGGCGCGTGGTGGCGGGTTTGCCAACCACAAGAGCGCCGGCGCGACGTCTCGTTGCAAATCGCAGGCGAAGTTTCTATCCGATGGCACGCGGGTCTTCTCCTCGCCGTTGGCGCGCGCAGTGGCCACAACCATCGCCGCTGTTGGCCTCGACAGGACGCCGCGGCGCAGACTGAGCCGATGAACGCTTCGCCACAGCTCAGTTTCAGTGTCAGTTGGATGGGGTCATGGTCGGCCCTGTGGTTGCACGGTTTTGCTTTTGGAGAAGATGAGAGGGGGGACCTGAAAATCCGCTTCTGCAGTGAGTGGATGCCTCTTTTTGGTCCAGTGCAATGCTGCGCCCTGTTCGGTTGTCATAGGCGCGCTACGTACAGTTGGGCTCCCTTTCAAATCTGCTCCTATTAGGGTTGCTGTTGACACATTCGTCCATCAATACAATCCAATCCGAATCCAATCCAATCCAATCCCATCCCATCCCATCCCATCCCATCCCATCCCATCCCATCCCACCCCACCCCACCCCACCCCATCCCATCCCATCCCATCCCATCCCATCCCATCCCATCCCATCCCATCCCATCCCATCCCATCCCATCCCATCCCACCCCATCCCATCCCATCCCATCCCATCCCATCCCATCCCATCCCATCCATCCACGAAAACACGAGGACGCCCCCTCCTGTGTTAGTTGATGGTTGTAGCTGTTTGGGAGTCCCCCTATGGGCCTGTGGGTTGGTTAAGCCCCCTATGGGTTGGCTTCGTGGAGGGGTTGCTTGTTGAAGGAGCATCGAGCTGCTGCCGGCGGCCCGGGAGATCGCGTGGCCCTGGTGCGGCCCCGACTCCATGGGCACGCACGGCAAAGCGGCGCTCATGGTAAAGGTGCTCCAAAGCCTCCAGGAACTCGGCGTCGCTTACTTTTGTTTGTTTGTTATATATATATAAATTTTAAAGCTTACTAAAAGAAAGAAAAGAAGCCACGTTTTTTTTGTTTTTCCATCATTTTACCTCCCCACCAGCAAGAACACTTTTTGTTGGAGGTCTAAGTCTGGTAAAGTAGAAAACACCCTGAGGGCCACTTGAGTTCTGAATCTGAAGGACTGATTTTCATTGCCCAGAGGCCGTGACAAGCGTGAAGCGGGCCTAGGATATCCGTATGCGCCGTTCAGAGTAAAGGTTGATTGCACCAGACAATGGCAACTGCGTGTGCTTATGCGATCGAACTGTAGTCGCGCTGACCTCCTCGAATGACCATGATTTTTCCCGAACGCATAGCGAAGGGTTCCCGTTGTTGAAGGGGCCGGTTTGCAAGATTTGTGGGAGTGCTTGGAATCTTGAAGTGCGAAATTCGTTGCGCCTGCGCGTGAATCGTTGCAAGTCGTTTTGCTATGCAGGCACAGTGTTTTGGAAGATCGCGTGTTCGCATTGCTGTGCATTTGCAGGTGTCTTGCTTGGCAGGAGCGTGCGAGGGTTTGCGCGAGTGTCAGATTCGTTGGCCCTGTCGCACAATAGGTTCCTTTTGGGCAGCTTGAAGTTTGTCAAAGTCGGTCGATATTTTTCTGGCGCCATCGTCCCGCGCTAATTTTGGATGCGCGTCGTAAGCTGAGCAGTTGCGCTCTCAGCAATACTGGAGACCGCCTTCATGTACTCGAGAGTGGTCCTGGGTTTCAGTGGAGAGTCTGTGAGCTGCATCTCGTTGACCGAGTCGCAGAAGTGCCGGAGCCTCTTTCAGTTTGCCCCGTATTTGACTGACACGGTTTTGACATCATCGGCTGCCAAACGATCATCAGCCTCCAGTGCCTCTGCCGGCTCACACTAACTCGGCAAGTCCTCCTTCAGGCGATGAATCAGGCAAGGTCGAGTGTGACCTCGTGAATCTGTGATTGACATAAGGAGGCCACCCCACCCCACTTGTCATCCACGGGATGCCTAGGAGGAGGCACAACCCGCTCTCCAATCTTCTTTCGTTCCAGCGCCCATAGAATGGATTTCGTGACCGACGCACCACCCAGGAGGGTCTGGAGTTCGGCGCTTTGGAGCTTGTTGTTTGAATTGTGTGGCGATTGGTAGAACGATGGCAAGATGCATGAAATAAAGAAAAGAGAAGGCTCGCCAAGAAGGCAAGCCAAGAGAGTAGCAGAGAAGACGCGCAAAGAAAGCAAGCAAGGAAGCGGGAGGACAGCAAGCAAGAAAGACGTGCAAACACAGCAAGCAAAAGCAAGCAGCGAAGAAGGAGTGGAAGGAAAGCAAGCAATGAAAGGGCGCAAACAAAACGCGCAAAGAAGCCTGGCAAGGAAAGCCGCAGAAAACACGTGGCAAGAAAACAGGCCAAGAAGGCGCGCCCAAAAGCTAGCAAAGAACACTTGCAAAAAAGCAAGCAGAGGAAACACAGGAACAGACGTGCAAAAGGAAAGGAGGCTTGCAGAGAAAGCACACGAGCAAAGCGGGCAAAGAAAGCACACAAAGGAAGGGAGCAAAGAAAGCAGACACAGATGCAGAAAGAAAACAAAACAAAGAAAGTAGCAGAGCAGAGGTGCAAGACAAGAGTAACAAACGAAAAACGAATGGAAAGCAAGCAAAGAATACTTGCAAAGAAAGTAAGCAAAGAAAGCAGCAAAGAAGACGCGCAAGGAGACGCGCAAGGAGAAGCAAGGAAGACTGCTGAAGACAAGCAAGTGAAACTGGAACAAACGTAAGACACCGCAAAAGGAAAAACTGGGCAGGTGGCCGAATTATGAGAGTTGGTTCTGTTTCTTGTTGGTTCTCACTCAACCTTGAAGCTGGGACGAACAGCTTGCATTCGAGTTCGTGGCTTCTATCAGGTTGTTTTGGTTGTCCTATTTGCGTCGCGGTTGTCCTCAAACTGCTGCTTTGCGAGGATGACACACTTCAAGACCAGGCAACTTGGCAAAGGAGGCAGAGACCCGCTCGGAAGGTGGTTATATTTTCGGAAGGATCAACAACGGCAGGCATTTTGATTTGGGGCTTGAGGAACGTGTCCGCACGCAGTGTGGCGCTCGGACTTTTGCCTCGAGGAAACTAAAGAGTTTCAACGCACGTTGAATAGCCCCAGTTCTATTTTGTTGGTTTCTGGAGCTGGGGTAATGATTGATAGGGATAGTTGGGGGCATTGGTGGCATTGGTATTTGATTGTTAGAGGCAAAGCTCTTGGATTTGTGAAAGACGGATTACAGCGAAAACATTTGCCAAGCTTTCATCGATCAATAACCAAAGTTAGGGGATCGAAGACGATCAGATACGTTCTAGTCTTAATCATAAACTAGGTCAATAGGTCGTTTATTGCACGACTCCTTCATCACCTTGCGATAAATCCACAATCTTTGGGTTCCGCAGCAGGGCACCAGGGGTGGAGCCGGCTGAATTTGACTCACGGGGAAAGGTACCAGGTTCAGACAGGATTGACAGATCGATAGCTTTTTGTTGATTCTATGGCCCGCTCCCCTGCCGTCCATGTGTCGAATGGTTGTTTTAGCGAACGGAAACAATTCCCTGAGCGTCCACTTGGCTACTTAAGGAGATGATGACCTAGTAGAAGCTCGCCATCGGCCACGAACATTTAATGGGGAATAGCCTCACGCACGGACCACAATTTCCCCCGAAGCCGTTGAACCCTCGACTTCACAGCCTCACCTGGGTCCACAGACCTGAGAAATGGATTTGGCTCTGAAGCAGAGCCTGAGGACCTGATGCCTTTGGCGGACTGCCCAAAGTCGCCCTTTTCGAAGCTGTCAGCCTGCATAAAGGGTGCGACCACGTTCTTAGCAACTTGGGTATGAAACTCAAGATTTCTTTTGTGTGGAGTGCGACCGTCTCACTGCGCCAAAGGAGCCTCCTACCAAGTGTTGCGATGTTTTTTTTTTTTTTAATTAGAACTCCAGGCAATTGACTTGGGTTAATACCATGCAGGGTTGTTCCTGCAACGAGTCCATGTGATTTGACGCCTTTCTTGAAACACTTTGGGGCTCCCCCTTTGACCAAGACATGTATGGATGTTTTGTGCTCCAGTCCCGCGCCCGAACAGCACCTCACTGGATCCACCTGGATCCCCCCCCCAACGGCCGTCGAGCCGTCGAGCGCGGGCGTTCAGGCCTTGGATCTGGTGGACGCCTCCCGCCTTGCGGGGAAGTGGAGCGGCCGGGAATCTAAGCAGGAGATGCATGCCAGGCGGGGCTTTTTGTCTGGGGAGTCAGAGATGTTCGTGTTATCAGGGTTGTGGGATCACTCGGGGTTTCTCCCCGCTTCTGTGATACAAGGGAATCCCCCTTTGTATGAAGAAAATAATCTTTGGGAAGCCCTTTCTGTTGTATCACAGAAGTGGTCATTCCCCACAGCCCTGTTCGTGCTCGTTTGGATTCCTCGTGATTTGGCAGGTGAAAGAAGGGTAATTAACCCCCAAATGGGTTGCCCGATCGGTGAATGGAAGCAAGGACGATTAATCCTGCGGTCTAATGCTTTGGAGGTACAAAGAACTGCTGGGCGCTTGTGAAGGCATGGAGCCTGCCACACACACACACAAATGACACCGCATTCTCAAGGTGCCATTTGATTTTTTGGCGCTTTGCTGCAATGATGATAGTAGAGCATGTTTGCATCACTGTTAGTTCGGCGCCGAGCTTCGCTCATTTCCAGGCCCGCAAAACCCCAGCGAGGGTTCCTCTGAAGCTGTGCTCGAGTTTGTTTCCCCCAGATGTTGCGGCTGGCTCCCAGAGGCTGCTTCCCAGACGGTAACTGCACACTCGGAAGTGGAAACGGGTCCATGGCACCCTCGGGAGGATTCTGGCCCTCCGAATGCAAGCCGAGGGGTCAATACGTTTTTTTACAGCACATACAAGCAGCCGCTCTGGCAATAGCTTTCTTTCTTGTGTTGAATGGATGCGCCTTGAGGTATGGTTCCTCTCTTTGAGTTTCTATGAAAAGACAAACATTAGAAACGCAAACCCGAGAATGGATATTCCATATCCCCTGTTTGTTTGTATTTTGGGGAGATCTGTGGAAATGATTTGGCTTGCCTTGTCAAAACACGATTCCTCAGGGTGCGAATGAACTTTTGGACGTTTGCACAACGATCAAATTGCCGGTTGATGGCTACTTTGGAGTGCGACCTACTGTGGATGGACGAAATTCTGCAAAACCTAAGAAACTCCGGAATGAAGATTCCCCTGTAAATACCAACCAACAATAGTTTCCCATGGCTTCCAAGTGGTGCCTAAGAGGATTCGCCACCCTCCACAGTTTTCATGGTCCTCAAAGAACCAGTGGTTTGAAGCGCCCAGTGCCCGCAACTTTCCGGCGCGGAAAAGTGCCTCTCTCCGTGCTTGGCTTCCTGGAAGCCCTGTTTCGGGATATTTTTTCACGGATTTTGGGGCCGGTGATCCATGACCGGTGCCCCCAGGTTTTTTTTTCTCCCTCCTTGGAACCCGCACGGGTCGCAGGCTGCGATTGCTGCTCAGCCTGGTACGACCAGCGCCTCGGGGGACGATGTTTTGGGGTGAACGTTTTTCTTCTTCTCTTTTTCTTCTTCTGCTTGCGGGCATGTTGGATCCCCCATTGCACCAACCATTGCTTTCCTTCGAAAGTCCTCGGTCTTGCGGCAAACATCAGCCGGTCATGCTCGACAGGCATTAGTGGAATTGTCGGATGTTCCTTGGAGAGACTAGATCTCAGCGGCCAGAACATTGTCCTATTCGTAGGAGGATTTGTCTCCTGACGCCGCCCTGGACCTCAAACTCGAACTCCCACCCTCGAACTCAGAATTAACATCGGAGCTCATCCCCGCTCAATAAGAAGCATATTGGATTGAACTCGAGATCGAACCTGAACTCGGACCAAAGCAATCGAGCCCCTTTACGGGTTGCGCGCTGTATTGGTGACTCTATCAGGCAGTCCGCCCTTCACGAGCTCGGGATGCAGCAGCCACTCGTCACGTAGCGTAGTTCTGAGCTCTATGTTTTAGCAAGATATTTCGAGTGGTACACACGGTCCCGGACTCTTGTGGGCCGCTGAAGTGTGCGCACATCATGGTGCCAGGAAGGGTGTTTCCAGATGATAGGAGCAGAACGTGCTTCCAGGGTAGGTTTGAAACACCGAACACCTTCCCAGCTTGCCGCAACCAGGAACAGCTTCAAATCTCTTTCTGGGACAGTCCATGCTGACTCGGGCGTAGCAGATTTGCCACAGCTCAGACTCGAAGGATGGAAGACACTGGCAGAACAGCGTGCTGGTTTGCCACAGCCTGCTGATTCAGCGCTTGTTCAAGGACAGCACTTCCCTACATGGGTGTGGGTCAAAATTCAACCACCAGGGGACCGCAGGTTTTGGTCCATGTTGCCACTTTCCAGGGTTACCTTTTGGGGTTACCCAATTTCTGACCAGCCACATGCACGTCCTTCTCGGTTTGCTTAGAAAGGCCACCGGTCTCCACGGGTTTGGATTGGCTTCTCCTACGGTTCGGCGTCCAGCCGGGCTGCAGGAACTGAAGCTCACGTCATGGCTCGAGCGACACCCGCTGTGCTCAAGGAGTTTTTTCTTTTCTGGCTGGATTGTTTGTTGCTCCCGGCAAGCAGGCATGACATTCAAGAAAGAACAGAAAGAGAGGAGAGACAAGAGGCAGGCAAGAAAGCACACAAGAAAGCAAGCAAGAAAGCAAGAAAGCAAGAAAGAAAGCAATCACCCACTCTAAACCTGCCCTAAACCAACCCGAAACCTACCCGAAGCACACCTAAACCCACCCTAGACCCCAAAAGAAACCCTTTCGCAAACGCGGGAAGACACAATCCCAAAAAACCGCCCCGCCCATCTGCCCATGATTATTTCTTCAATTGGCGATTTCTTGCTAGTAAGGTCGATGAACGATCATGCGAATCGGAATTTCCCAGATTTGTGTGTGCCTTCTTCAGGGCATCCTTGGGATGGTTGTAAAGGGAAAGCCGAAGGACAAACACCCGTCTTGGAGATTCCCCAATGAGACAAACCCATATGTATATATGGGACACTTTGTTTAAGAGTTGCTTGGGGCTGCAACAAATACGTCTTTGGAGGCTACGGAAGGGTTTCGGGGAGGGTGTGTGTGTGTGTGTGTGTGTGTGTGTGTGTGTGTGTGTGTGTGTGTGTGTGTGTGTGTGTGTGTGTGTGTGTGTGTGCGTGCGTGCGTGCGTGCGTGCGTGTGCGTGCGTGCGTGCGTGCGTGTGTGTGTGTGTGTGTGTGTGTGTGTGTGTGTGTGTGTGTGTGTGTGTGTGTGTGTGTGTGTGTATGTGTGTGGGGTGGGTGTCTCAGTTATGTCATGTTACGTCGTCTTGGCCCCCAACACCAGAGTGCTGCCATATTTGTTTCTTGTTTGACATCAATATCTTTTACACATTGCAGCAGGGTTGGAAGTGGTGTTTGACCTGCGTTCAACTCTCAATCAGATCACAGCAGTATACATATAGATCTATATCTCTATATATATATATATATGTATATACACGTGGAAAACCATGTACCAGGATCTTTCTTGTTATCCATATGTGCGTATGTACCAACATACAAACTATATATATATACATACACATACATACACATATGTATATGTGTATATACACATCTATGTATATATATATATACACACACACATCTGAAACATTTCTTCCCATTCCTGGTTCGCGACACCGAGTTCTTTATCGCCATCCGAAGCGATCGCAGGACTTTGCTTCCGAGGCCTTGCAGAAGGCGTGGAGCGAGCCGGCGCTTCGAACGATCGCCGGAGTTTTTCTTCGAGTCGAGAGATCTTGGCTTGTGGCCCTTTTCTCTTGGAGGGTCTCCTCGTTTTTTGGGCGCCTTGTTGAAAGGGGCATGTCAGAAGAGGGGTGTTTTCAGTTTTTGCTTGGGGGCGGGGGGGCCTGAAGGTCGCAAGACACAGCCGGTGGCGGCTCGTTTGGGTTTTGCTCGTGCCACTTTCTGGCGATTCTTGGCCTCGGCTCCCTCGATCACGGCGCTTGGGTGGTTTCAAGGCCCTGGCAAGATCAACCAACTTGCTGCCATGAGCTTTAGGGAACCCCGGCCCAAAGTTCAACTTGCTGCCAAAGGTGTGGCAGCCTGGAACCTATGGGACCCAAAAACCAGAGAATGATGCCACTTCGGGGATCCCTGACTAGAATTCATTCGGGGCCGGAACCGGAGGAGCGGGATCCGGATCCGGATCCCGCTCGGTCCTGTCCCAAGTTTTTTGGGTTCTTGGGACAGGGCTCCTTACGAGGAATCCATTTTGCCATACCATTTGAAACATGCTGAACACTTTTTTTCAACACCGAAAATTTTAGTTGGGCGCCAGAAAGCAAGTTGCAAGCAATGTTCTTTGGTGTTTTTCATGCCGGATCCCTCAGGAGAGCCCGGAGCTGCTTCTCCGGCTTCGAGCGCGGAAGCTGCAGAACTGCGGCGCCCCGGCGATCCGATCCGCCAGTCCACCATTGGGGGCCTGGCAGTGGGGCCTTGATGGCTGGGTGAATCCGGGTACATGAGAATTTAGAGGCATCTCCGCAGAAAATGGGGGGGGGGGGGGGGAAGAACAACGGTCCAACGGCCCACCCCGAAAAACACCAGACCTTTTTGTGAATCATAAGAACTTCACACGACCTTTGTGAACCCAAAGGGTGGGTTTATGTGGGGAAAATTGCCCAATCGCCTGATTTCAGGTTGGTATTATCCCAGAAAGATGCGATTGGACTTTTTTTGGGCTTTGACGGCTGACGGCTTGAGGCGCGCCCGAAGGGGCCTGGGTGGGTTGAAAGGTAGTTTTCGGGTTTCGGAATGCGAGAGAGGGATGCAGGAAGCAACAGGAAGGGAAAGATAGGCTATGTCTGTGGGTGCTAGAGAATCGTCAAGCTTTGATGGTGCAAACAAACTGTCACAAGCTGTGTGCTGTCTCTAGTTTTTTGGAAATCACTGTGGGACATCGGGAAAGAAGTTGAAGGAAAGGATGTGGCATTGAAGAGAGGTGGCAAGCACTGATTTTCAGCTAGGCTTGCTTGTGTGGGTGCGCATGACCCCCAATTTGTCGACGCGTCTTAAACGTTCGGAGGATTGGGCGCCCGCAGCGCGACTTTCCCACAGAGATACCGCGACTGACAACTTGCCTTCCAAGACTGTTATTATGCTGAAGACGGCTACTACTTCTCCCACCACTATATACTCCTACTACTGTTGCTACTACTACAACGGCGCATTTGCCGCCACTACTGCCTACCGCCGTCGCAGTGCTTTTTTTTTTTGTTTTCCCCGAATTTGTCATGAATGAATGCTTCCATGGTTAGTGTTATTCTTTGGCAATGAAGATGATTGCCGTTGCCGGCGCAGCTGCCTGTTCTAGGGCTGTTTTCATCGCAGCTTCCACCGCCACGACTAGTAATAAGAGTGTTTTTAAATTATACTTCCTATTCGTTACAGCTGCCATGACAACGACTGCTACTACTGCTACTGCTACCCACTATATACTACTACTACTAATACTACTAATACTACTACTGCTACTATTACTACTAGTACTTGTACTACTCCTCCCCCTACTACTATTATTATTACTACTACTACTACTACTACTACTACTACTACTACTCCCCCTCCTACTACTACTACTACTTCTTTTACTTCTGCTTCTACCACCAACACCACCACCAGCACCACCACCACCACCACCACCACGACTACTACTACTACTACTACTACTACTACTTCTACCACTACTACTACTACTACTACTACTGCTGCTGCTGCAGCTGCTGCTACTACTACTTGTACTACTGCCACCACCACCACCACCACCACTGCTGCTACTTCTACTACTTCCACTACTTCTCCACTTCCTCTACTTCTACTACTTCTACCACTTTTGCCACTTTGACCACTTTTGCTACTTCTACTTTCGAAGCATTGCCAGGTGTGCAATTATCGCCGCTGCCACTAGTAACTACAGAACACCTGCTTCACCCCTCAGACTTGAGACAGACGAACTGCGGACAGGTGTTGCCAAGATCTTGCTAGACACGGACAATCTCATCAGCCATGCTGACCTCGTGTTTGGCACAAAGCTGGTGTGAGACTCGCCCGACAGTGATCAGCATCGAGCGCAGCCACGCGCCAAGATGCGCAGAAATCTGTAGCTTTTGTACATGTGGGTATGGGTCAAAATTAACCACTAAAGGGATCGCAGGTTTTAGTCCTTGTTTCCATCTACCAGGGCAGCCCATTTTGGGGCTACCCCTTTTTTGACCCATGGGCTTAAATCTTGAGCCTCTCAGTCTCCAATGTGGCGGGTGAAAAGAGCGAGCCAAGTGCATCCAATTGCGATCATCTCGTCGGCTTGGAGCTGAACTCGTTGCGATGCATCTTTTTTTTGTGGAAACGGAACTTTCCTCCGTGCGGAACACACCAAAGCTGGGACCTGTGGGCTCTTGAAAAGGTTCAGGAGTCAAAAGGGTCGTTATTTTTTTATGTGTCTTTTTTGGTGGGTTGGTAGCATGGACAATTGGTCTCGAGCTGTGTCACACATTTTCATGTTCACTTTGTCCATCAGCTCCCATGGTTTGCCTTAAACCTTTCCGCCGTGGTTGCTTTTGTTTTGCCGGCCCTGTAGAGAGCCCTCTGCAGCTTGGAGGCGGTCGAACAAATTGTTTCGGCGGAGAAGTGATCAAGCGACTCCGCTGTGCGCCTTTCCGCTCGAGATGTTTGCGAGGCAAGGGATCAAGCAGGCCTTCGAGGAGGTGGTCTTCAAGATCCTGGACACGCCTTCTTTGCTTCAGAGCGCCCCCGCCACGGTTGTTTGACTGGCCGGGGTCTGGCGAAATTTGTTTTTGGAAGGTGTTCCCCAGAACATCTAAGTAAAAGGAAGGCGATGATTCTTTCTTGGCCTGCCTTTTTTGTGCGGCAAAAGCAAAAGTAAAGGAAGGCGCCCTTGTGAAAGTTGGCCGATGCTTTTACTGGAGTTGTATGGGGCTTCGCGTCTTGAAACCCCCAACTGTTGAGTTTTCTCTGCTCTGTCCTTTGCTCCTGTTGCTGCGCTGCACCGTTGAGGCTAAAAATCAGCACAGCGCAGGAGGTTTGAGCTGTGCGGGGTAAATACCGTGTGCGCCGGCAAAAAGAAGAGAACACCCCGTGTTTGCCGAGAAAACGCGCGTGGGGTCCCGAAGGCTCCAGGTGCGCACCGGTTTTGACGGCTGATTTGTTTCACTTGCGGCCGGGGATCTGATGTCTCGGGCTCATTGGCCTGGGATCTGTGCAGGTTCTGTGTGGGGACAAGCTGGTCATGCGTCCGGGAGATGCGATTGCCACCCACGTGGAGCGTTGCCGCGCATGCTGAAGTCTGTGCGCGTGTCGGGTGATGCCGGAGCCACGCTGGCAAGCTTCGGTACGCGCAGTCGAAAAAGAATAATTATGCCGGCCCTTGCTTCTGCCCTGTCCAATTGGAATGTGCTTTCCGGCAAGTAGCAGCAGGCATTTTCAAAGATGTGATACCTGACCTTGTGGACTCTTTGCAGGAAGGCATGCAGCACAGGTTCCGCAGTGCGTTTGTAGCGTAAGGTGTTCAGCGCTGGTTTCCCCGCGCTCTTTGTCTAGTCAAGCAGAGCGTTGCGCGATATCGCCAGGCTGCAAGCCAAAAAAGGGGTTAGCCCCTAGACCCTTGTCGCTGGACCTTCCGGGTGTGGCTGTTCCGAGCGGCAAGCGACCACACCTTTGCGGGAAGTGAGAAGTATGGCCGCCAGGGGGCAAATATTGCTTTGTCTGAACATGGTCTTGTTTTCATCTGGGCAAATCGAACAGGAGCCCTGGCTGGCAACAATGCCCTCTGCAAAGCTCCAGGAAACGGGGGAGGCGCTCGCTGGTCGTTTTTGCAAGCCGAAGACCTTTGTGCAGCAGTTTGACTCGTCACAAAGTCTGGAACTTGTTTCTTGCGGTGGTTTCTCAAGCTCTGCGCACGCATCTCCGTGTCGCTTCAGAAACGCCGCCGCGGGGTTCTCCGCTGCCGGCGTTTCTGCGTTTGCGCCTTGGGGCCCTCTTTGTGAAGCTGAATAGCGCCAGGGTCATGCTAGCCGGGCACTGTGCAGAGATGCAGAAGCCACAAAGCTGTCTAATGGGTGTGGCTCAAAATTAACCAGGAGGGGTTACGCAGGTTTTGGTCCATGTTTCCACTTACCAGGGTTCCATTTTTGGTACCGGTTTTTTGAGCCACAGCCAGTTGGGGGCAAGAACCGGGCCCTCATTCTATGTGGGGCAAGAACCCGGTTTTCCAGGCACACAGCCCTTGGGAAACCGGCAAGTGGACGCCGCGCGCCAGGCTGGGCGGGGGGGTTCCTCATTTTTCTGGTTCAAAGTCAGCCCAACCGAAGGTCGCTTCAAGACCCGAAGGATCTGGGGTCCCTTCAAAGGTTACAACCAACCCGCAAAACGAAAAAGGAAAGCCATCCATGTCCTCTTTCGTTAAGGGCCAGGGAGTTGTGTTTGGAGGCTTCCCTTTGAGTTTTGTGAAGGGGAGCGACCGGGCGCCGAAATGGATTTCGGGGGCTCCATGTGGCCCATTTTTGGCTTTTCGGTCACCCAGTTTAGAACCGATTTTAGTAGTGGTTGGATTGAATCGGATGTTCACCGCGGGAACGATGTGGGTTTTGAAAAGCCCATGGCCATGTCCCAGTTGCGGAATTTTTTTGACACTTCAGATCCGGGGCTGCGATTTGCACCACCCATTTTAGAACCTATTTTAGTGGGAATGGAAAAGGGATTAATGAATGCCTGTCCCCCACCCCCTACCCCCCCCTCTTTAAGGTAGTTGGGTCCTATCCCTGGGGCGGTTAGGAAGTGGATGTATCAGCATTTTCCCCAAGACTTCCTGAGCTGAATCAAAGAGACCCCATGATTTGATCCGAGATTCGATCTGCGTTACTTTGCCAAAGTCCCCCTAGGGAAATCATTTGAGATTCGAATTGCTTTTTCTGAAAGTGCTGCGTTTTGCTAAGCTTTCCGCAAACATGCTTCCCCTTAAGGCTTCCCTAAGGCTTCCCTAAGGCTTCCCTAAGGCTTCCCTAAGGCTTCCCTAAGGCTTCCTTAAGGCTTCCCTAAGGCTTTCCTGAGGCTTCCCTAAGGCTTCTTTAAGGGTCCCTTCCCAACCTAATTTGCAGGTTTGGGCGGTATTTCTTGTCCAATCAGCTTTTCACAGTTCCCCAAGAGGCTCCCCAGTGTTCCCGCCATGGGCAGGGCGAGTGTCAGGCCAAGCTTCCCAAGGCTTCCCCAAGGCTTCCCCAAGGCTTCCCCAAGGCTTCCCCAAGGCTTCCGCAAGGCTTCCGCACTTCCTAAGCCTCCCACACTTCCCCTGCAAGAGAAGCCCTTTAAGCTTAAAGCGGGGGGGGTGGGTAACGGGGGGGGGGGGGGTACGGGCTCCAAAATCCGATTTGGGTGTGGCTCAAAATTAACCAGGAGGGGTTACGCAGGCTTTGGTCCATGTTTCCACTTACTAGGGTTCCATTTTGGTACCGGTTTTTTGAGCCACAGCCATTTGGGTTTTGACCCATGGCCATGCGATGGAGTCTTCTTCTTCGCTGGCGCAGCGCAGGCGCCCTCCGAAGGCTGCGGGTGTTGACAGGCGCGAAAGCCGGAAAGACGGCGACGGCGAAGGGATTGAAACCACGGCCATTTGCTGAATGGACTATATTTTAGTGGGGATTGGTTTTTTTTGCTGTTAGTTTCAAAGGGATTCGATTTCACTACTGGACATATTCTCTCATTTTTTCCAGGGGCGAAAACGCAAATGGCAGACCAGTTTGCCCCACAACCAACTTGGACGGTGGGAAACAACCAGTGGCAGGTGCTTCCACCCCATAGTCGTAGCCAATTAGATTTGGTCCCCGCGGCAATTCCTAAACCAATCCGTGGTAAACGCGAACAAACAAGGGGTCAACAAACAAACCATGAGTGCGCAACACCTCGTGTCGGCATCATTTCAATCGCCTCTGGGTAGAACCAGGGGGACTGGGGTCATGATTTTTGATCGTTTCTGGGGGTCTTTAACCTACCACTTAAGAGGTGACTTTGATGGTTAAATAGTGCGGCCGGTCAGCGGTGTATGGTCTTGAGACATGTAGGTGTGTTTTGTAGTCCCCGCCCCAGAATTCCACAGGCGGCTCCTTTGCAGGTTGCAAGACCTGCTTCATTTGTCTCACCCTTTTGCAAGTAGTCGTCGCACGCAGTTCGCCCCGGCCCAGATTCCAGCCGAAGCCCGACCAGAGATTTACACAATGGCCCTTCAATGGCGCCCTGAATGGTCCCTTTGGAGCTTCCCTTACCCAAGAAATCCTTCTCTTCGGCGCAGTTATGCCTCATTTCTTCGAAGGTTTCTCAGATTTCACTCGTGGGTTGTCTTTGAACTCTGCGCTCCGTTCGTGGCAACTACAGCGCCGTGGAGGAAACCGGGGCAAAACGAACGTGTGCGTGGGCAACCGGGCTGGGCGTGGCCACGATGTGTGGAGTCGTCAGACCATTGTATTGTTCGTTATGGTTCGCGGGTGCTTGGCACCATCATGCGGGACTTTCTAGACACTGACGAACATGGGTCCCGCTGCTTCCCTTCTGCATTTCTTGCTTTCTGTGCGGCTTAGCATCCTCTCTTGAGGGAACCAATCCCTCAGCGCCATGGCTCCACGTTGCCTCCAGGTAGCTCTGCCCCGACTTTTTTTTTTCTAAGGGTTTTTGTATTGCACCCTGGGAATACACCCCATCTAGGCACATTTCCGGACAAACCCGTGTTATTTTGAACCATTCTGGGTCACTTCCCAGTGACACAAAAACCCTCAGACTTCCCCGGCTCCGGAAGCTCAACGTGGTGCTTCGGAGCCTTTTTCTTTGTGAGGGAAACCCCGTCGGCGAGCCGTCCCTGTGGATGGTTGCAAAATCCATTTCGCAGCTGGGAAATCATAGCGTTTGTTACGGTATTTACGTTGGGGAATCGAATCAGAAACCAGGGTTTCTGAACGGTGGTGCCTAAGAGGATTTCGCAACCATCCACACTATTGCTCTTGGCCAAAAAAACAAATCCAGAAGAGTTTGGTCGACTGATGGCCTTCGATCCAGCACGGGATTGCGCGCTCCCCGATTTTCCTTGAACGCCTGTTTCTTGCTGCTCGAGAGAGAGAGACCAGAGAGAGAAACCCGCGCGGTGACAAGGGTTTCATGACTTGACTGCTGGGTTGGATCTTTAGACTTTAACTTTTTGGTGAAATCAAGGGGTTTTCCACTAAACCCACAAAAAGTTAACAACTTTTTGCAGAGGGGTCAACAGAAACCAAGATGAGAGCAGGCATTTGGTGCTGTCTTGAAGCTTTTTCCAGAGCACAGCTTGCGGGCCCCACTCGATTGCCATGGCACCCTGGAGAGCACTGGGCTTGAAGGTGCGGAGGTGGTTGTGATTCTGATTGTGTGCACTTCACCAAAGGACATGGACATGGCCAGCAATTGGGTGTTGGTTCGCCAGGTACAACATGCAAAGCCGCGGCAATGGCGGCTTTGCTTGCCAGCATTGCGTCTGTGCTTGCCAGCCCAGGAGCCACGCCACAGGCCCCCCCGTTTTTTCTTTCTCTTCTTCTGACGGCAGTGAGAGAACCCTGCACGAACTGGAAGAATCAACAGGTTTTTGGAATGTGGCGGCTTTGCCTGTCGAAGTTTGCATGGTGTTTCTGCCGCTTGGAAGGCTTGCATGATGCTCTTGCGAAGGTTTGCACGCCTTTGGTCGCCCTTCTACGCAGATGTGGCCCGTGCGACATCTGCGTGCGAAGCATCTGCGAGTGTAACTCACGTGAAATCTGATTGAAGCACAGGTTTTCCTTGAAAGCGGTTTCCGGGTCTTGCTCGGGTTGGCTGGCGGGAGGCCACTTTGCCGGCAAGGCCCGGAATCCTTCTTTGGCCAGTTCTTGCGGAGCTTGCGGAGCTTGCGAGATCTCGCAGGCCGGTAGGGGGTTGTGGGGTTGTGGGGGGAGGGGGGGGAGGTTCACCGGTGGCTTTCCATGGCTCTCCCACAGGGCTCCTTAAAAGAAATTCATTTTGCCACCATTTGAACCATGTTGCTTTTTCAACAAAACAAAGTTGGAAACCAGCAGAAAACAAGTTGCAACGTTCAGGTGTTTCTCATGCCGGATCCCTTTTAGCAGGACCTTGCCTCCGTCGGGATGAAGCTCAACGGAAGACTGGGGCTCGATTTCGCCCGCAGGTTTGATGCTTTGGCCGGCGGCACACGAAATCCACCCAATTAGGCCTCGCCTCAACTGCTCTCAAGCATTCTCAAGCGATGCTTCCCAAAGACGGGAGTTTTCTTGTCGAAGTGTTTTGAGTAGAGGATTCATACAGATACAAGATTCCTCGCATTTGCAATATGTGCACAAGGGTCATGTGCATTGACAGTGGGTGTGCATACCACTCAATACAGGCCGGGCGTTTGGTTCCCTTTCCCCGAATTGTTCTGACAAGTGGCATGGGCCATGCAAACATCATGTTGCGACCGGAAGGTTTGTTAACCCCTAGCGGCTTGGTTTATTTTCCGGAGTAGCAGCGACTACTCCGTCCCTTGCTTGGATTAAGCTCAGGATGCCAAGTAATGTTGACAGACATGTCGAACAAATGTTTGGGCAACAAGTAGAGGAATCCCTCCCCGGGCGAATCTCCCCTTTGGCATGGTTCCCCTTTTGTTTGAACCCCGAAAGAGGGCGGACTGTGCCAGGGTTGAGAACCAGGCCAAGTGAGCCATGCCCGATATTTGATTTCTGTCAGCTGGACAACATGAATGCCATACTGGGACAAAGAAGGACATGGGTGCTACTTGCGAAAAACATGAAAAGAAGCAAAAAAGAAAAAGAGAGACACAGTCGGGAACACTGAGAATTGACTGCTCGCATACCTCAAGTAGTCAAGCCTTGTGCACATGCAATGACTCCTTCAGGTGCAGAGGAGTGACCAGCTGCTTGCCTCTCAGACGAGGCTTTGGCTGGGATCTGGGGGAAGTTCCAAACGGAAGGTGCCTTTGGTCTGGAGCATCTTCCTGGCCCGGTAGATGTTTGAAGGGCAACATTGGGTGTCCCCCAGTTACTCAGTTGCCGGTTTGGGGGTAAACCTGGCGCAGCTGAAGATTTCCACGAAGGGAAGGATTTCATGCGCCACCCTTCAAGAGGCCGCTTTGTAACAAAGGGAATCTTTGGTTTGAAGCGGATGGAAAGGCACACATTTCCGCCATGTATATTTTCTTGCATTCCCGACACGGGCCAAGTCCGGGCTGGCATTACATGACTTTTCCGCTGGTTCCGAGAGTCATTTCGGCTACACGCAGCTTTCCTAGTTGCTTCCGATCTAGTGTGATTGGTCGACTCAATGACCACATTACGCGCCTTTCTACTGCTCTTTCTTGCGCTTCCTCGGGCCTCCGGCGAGCCTGACAACGCAACATGCCAGGAGCAATCCCTTCTGATGCAGCTGCGAACAGGCAGCCGGCTCAAGGCAACAGAGACAACGGACCAGTGCGATGACATCTACAGCGGCCAGACATCTTGCAAGTACGAGAAGCAACCCGACTGCAAGGGCAATAACGGCTTGCCCAACTGCAACGGGGCCAACTACAAGATTCCTTCTGTTGCCCAAGAGTGTTTCTTTGGAATGGAAGGTATCAATTACGAGGACGCAGCCAACCTGCCCGACGGGCCTGCCGGCCAGAACTGCACTGCTGGAGGTTCAGTCACTCCAGCTATCTACACCACCTGCAAGTTTGACTCCATCTCAGGAGACCCAAAAACGCTTGAAATTACAGTGCCTCCAAACACACTCATCACACAAAGCTGTGTGAAGAGCGGCCCACTAAGGCATTGTTACAATCTCGAGCCCAAATGCAGCGCAACTCCATACACTCTTACCATTTCGGGATTTAACAACAAGGCCATCAGCAACTTCGGCTTCCTATACAAATGTTGCGACCCAAGCCCAACCACTGCAGCACCGACCACTGCAGCACCTACCACAGCAGCACCCACCACTGCAGCACCGACCACGGCAGCACCTACCACAGCAGCGCCCACCACGGCAGCACCCACTACGGCAGCACCTACCACGGCGGAACCCACCACAGCAGCACCCACGACCACGAGCACCACTCTACCACTCCCCTTTTGCGAGCCCACGATAACTCGTGAAGACGTGACCAGTGTGGGTCTCACTCACGGTTCTCTACTCACAACTCAGTTTGGGGTCTTTGGCATTGAGAGTATCTCGGCCAGTGGCTCTGGCAGTACCAATGAAGCGCGGATCTTTGACGGTGGATTGGATGAGAGTTCTGTTTGCACTTGTGACAACGACCTTCTCAACCCCAACCTGCAGTACCTCCTTGTGATTCAGGAAGCCAATGCATGTTCGGAGCAGGCTAGCTGTGGTGCCGGTTGCGGTATTAGTTGCTGTGACGGCGATGGCTGCACCAAGGTCACGGGGGGGACTCCACCCAATGTAGATGACAACTCGGGCGGAGGAACGATTACCATCACATTCAATGATTCAAGCTGTGTGGAAGACTTCCTCTTCGTGGATACCGAGGAGAACGGCGGTGTGGAGGCATTTGCTGAGAACGGTACCTCGCTCGCCAAACAAGACTTTTTGGTCACGGGCAACAACGAGTTCAACTTTGTCTCTCTCAACGTATGTGGTGTGAAGACAATAGTGGCGACACTTGGAGGTTCTGGTGCCATTTCCCTGCAGTGCTTCAATTCTACCATTGATCCCGGCACCACAACTACCACAGCAGCACCCACTACGGCCGCGCCTACCACTGCCGGACCTACCACTGCAGCACCGACCACTGCAGCAGCACGACCACTGCAGCACCTACCACAGCAGCGCCCACCACTGCGTCGCCTACCACGGCAGCGCCCACCACTGCAGCGCCTACTACGCAGCACCTACCACTGCAGCACCTACCACAGCAGCGCCCACCACTGAAGCACCTACCACAGCAGCACCCACCACTGCAGCACCGACCACGGCAGCACCCACACAGCAGGACCCACCACTGCAGCACCCACTACGGCAGCACCTACCACGGCGGAACCCACCACAGCAGCACCCACCACGGCAGCACCGACCACGGCAGCACCTACCACTGCCGGACCCACCACTGCAGCACCTACCACAGCAGCGCCCACCACGGCAGCACCTACCACTGCCGAACCTACCACTGCAGCACCCACTACGGCAGCACCTACCACGGCGGAACCCACCACAGCAGCACCCACCACGGCAGCACCGACCACGGCAGCACCTACCACTGCCGGACCCACCACTGCAGCACCTACCACAGCAGCGCCCACCACGGCAGCACCTACCACTGCCGAACCTACCACTGCAGCACCCACTACGGCAGCACCTACCAGCCGGCAGCGCCCACACACGGAGGATCACCTACCACCAGCCGGCCACGACCACCGAGCACCCACACTACCAAACGCCTTTTTGCGAGCCCACGATAAGCCGGGGGAAGACGGGAACAGCGTGGGTCTCACACTCACGGTTTCGCTACTCACACAACTCAGTTTGGGGTCTTTGGCATTGAGAGTGTCTCGGCCAGTGGCTCTGGCAGTACCAATGAAGCCCGGATCTTTGACGGTGGATTGGATGAGAGTTCTGTTTGCACTTGTGACAACGACCTTCTCAACCCCAACCTGCAGTACCTCCTTGTGATTCAGGAAGCCAATGCATGTTCGGAGCAGGCTAGTTGTGGCGCCGGTTGCGGTATTAGTTGCTGTGACGGCGATGGCTGCACCAAGGTCACGGGGGGGACTCCACCCAATGTAGATGACAACTCGGGCGGAGGAACGATTACCATCACATTCAATGATTCAAGCTGTGTGGAAGACTTCCTCTTCGTGGATACCGAGGAGAACGGCGATGTGGAGGCATTTGCTGAGAACGGTACCTCGCTCGCCAAACAAGACTTTTTGGTCACGGGCAACAACGAGTTCAACTTTGTCTCTCTCAACGTATGTGGTGTGAAGACAATAGTGGCGACACTTGGAGGTTCTGGTGCCATTTCCCTGCAGTGCTTCAATTCTACCATTGATCCCGGCACCACAACTACCACAGCAGCACCCACTACGGCCGCGCCTACCACTGCCGGACCTACCACTGCAGCACCGACCACTGCAGCACCGACCACTGCAGCACCTACCACAGCAGCGCCCACCACTGCGTCGCCTACCACGGCAGCGCCCACCACTGCAGCGCCTACTACGGCAGCACCTACCACTGCAGCACCTACCACAGCAGCGCCCACCACTGAAGCACCTACCACAGCAGCACCCACCACTGCAGCAAACCACGACCACGGCCAGCACCCACTACAGAGCAGACCGCACCACTCAGCAAAGCACCCACTACGCAGCACCTACCACTGCCGCACCCACCACAGCAGCACCCACCACGGCAGCACCGACCACGGCAGCACCTACCACTGCCGGACCCACCACTGCAGCACCTACCACTGCAGCGCCCACCACTGCAGCACCTACCACAGCAGCGCCCACTACTGCAGCACCTACCACTGCCGCACCCACCACTGCAGCACCTACCACAGCAGCGCCCACCACGGCAGCGCCCACCACGGAAGCACCTACCACGGCAGCACCCACGACCACGAGCACCACTCTACCACTCCCCTTTTGCGAGCCCACGATAAGCCGTGAAGACGTGACCAGTGTGGGTCTCACTCACGGTTCTCTACTTACATCTCAGTTTGGGGTCTTTGGCATTGAGAGTGTGTCGGCCAGTGGCTCTGGCAGTACCAATGAAGCCCGGATCTTCGACGGTGGATTGGATGAGGATACTGTTTGCACTTGTGACAACGACCTTCTCAACCCCAACCTGCAGTACCTCCTTGTGATACAGGAAGCCAATGCATGTTCGGAGCAGGCTAGTTGTGGCGGCGGTTGCGGTATTAGTTGCTGTGAGGGCGATGGCTGCACCAAGGTCACGGGGGGGACTCCACCCAATGTAGATGACAACTCGGGCGGAGGACCGATTACCATCACATTCAATGATTCAAGCTGTGTGGAAGACTTCCTCTTCGTGGATACCGAGGAGAACGGCGATGTGGAGGCATTTGCTGAGAACGGTACCTCGCTCGCCAAACAAGACTTTTTGGTCACGGGCAACAACGAGTTCAACTTTGTCTCTCTCAACGTATGTGGTGTGAAGACAATAGTGGCGACACTTGGAGGTTCTGGTGCCATTTCCCTGCAGTGCTTCAATTCTACCATTGATCCCGGCACCACAACTACCACAGCAGCACCCACTACGGCCGCGCCTACCACTGCAGAACCTACCACTGCAGCACCGACCACTGCAGCACCGACCACAGCAGCACCCACCACTGCAGCACCGACCACGGCAGCACCCACTACAGCAGGACCCACCACTTCAGCGCCTACTACGGCAGCACCTACCACTGCAGCACCCACCACAGCAGCGCCCACCACTGAAGCACCTACCACAGCAGCACCCACCACTGCAGCACCGACCACGGCAGCACCCACTACAGCAGGACCCACCACTGCAGCACCCACTACGGCAGCACCTACCACGGCGGAACCCACCACAGCAGCACCCACCACGGCAGCACCGACCACGGCAGCACCTACCACTGCCGGACCCACCACTGCAGCACCTACCACAGCAGCGCCCACCACGGCAGCACCTACCACTGCCGAACCCACCACTGCAGCACCCACCACGGCAGCGCCTACCACAGCAGCGCCCACCACTGCCTCGCCTACCACGGCAGCGCCCACCACGGAAGCACCTACCACCGCCGGGCCCACGACCACGAGCACCACTCTACCACTCCCCTTTTGCGAGCCCACGATAAGCCGTGAAGACGTGAACAGCGTGGGTCTCACTCACGGTTCTCTACTCACAACTCAGTTTGGGGTCTTTGGCATTGAGAGTGTCTCGGCCAGTGGCTCTGGCAGTACCAATGAAGCCCGGATCTTTGACGGTGGATTGGATGAGAGTTCTGTTTGCACTTGTGACAACGACCTTCTCAACCCCAACCTGCAGTACCTCCTTGTGATTCAGGAAGCCAATGCATGTTCGGAGCAGGCTAGTTGTGGCGCCGGTTGCGGTATTAGTTGCTGTGACGGCGATGGCTGCACCAAGGTCACGGGGGGGACTCCACCCAATGTAGATGACAACTCGGGCGGAGGAACGATTACCATCACATTCAATGATTCAAGCTGTGTGGAAGACTTCCTCTTCGTGATACCGAGGAGAACCGATGTGGAGGCATTTGCTGAGAAACGGTAACCAATTCGCGCCCGCCAAACAAGACTTTGTTTGGTCACGGGCAACCCCCCAACGAGTTTCAACTTTGTCCGCTCAACGTATGTGGTGTGAAAGACAATAGTGGCGACACTTTGGAGGTTCTGGTTGCCATTCCCTGCAGTGCTTCAAATTCTACCATAGATCCCGCACAACAAACTACCACACAGCCGCACCCACTACCGGCCGCGCCTACACTGCAGAACCTACCACTGCAGCACGGGACCACTGCAGTCACCGACCACTAAGCAGCACCCACCACTGCAGCACCGACCACGGCAGCACCCACTACAGCAGGACCCACCACTGCAGCGCCTACTACGGCAGCACCTACCACTGCAGCACCTACCACAGCAGCGCCCACCACTGAAGCACCTACCACAGCAGCACCCACCACTGCAGCACCGACCACGGCAGCACCCACTACAGCAGGACCCACCACTGCAGCACCCACTACGGAGGCACCTACCACAGCAGCGCCCACCACTGCAGCACCCACCACTGCAGCACCTACCACAGCACCTACCACTGCAGCACCCACTACGGCAGCACCTACCACAGCAGCGCCCACCACCGCAGCGCCCACCACGGCAGCGCCCACCACAGCAGCGCCCACCACTGCAGAACCTACCACAGCAGCGCCCACCACTGCGTCGCCTAGCACGGCAGCGCCCACCACAGCAGCGCCTACCACTGCAGCACCTACCACAGCAGCGCCCACCACTGCAGCACCTACCACAGCAGCGCCCACCACTGCAGCACACCACGGCAGCACCCACTACAGCAGGACCCACCACTGCAGCACCCACTACGGAGGCACCTACCACAGCAGCGCCCACCACTGCAGCACCCACCACTGCAGCACCTACCACAGCAGCACCTACCACTGCAGCACCCACTACGGCAGCACCTACCACAGCAGCGCCCACCACCGCAGCGCCCACCACGGCAGCGCCCACCACAGCAGCGCCCACCACTGCAGAACCTACCACAGCAGCGCCCACCACTGCAGCGCCCACCACGGAAGCACCTACCACAGCAGCGCCCACCACTGCAGCACCGACCACGGCAGCACCCACTACAGCAGGACCCACCACTGCAGCACCCACTACGGCAGCACCTACCACGGCGGAACCCACCACAGCAGCACCCACCACGGCAGCGCCTACCACGGCAGCACCTACCACTGCAGCACCTACCACAGCAGCGCCCACCACTGCAGCACCTACCACAGCAGCACCCACTACAGCAGGACCTACCACTGCAGCACCCACTACGGCAGCACCTACCACTGCAGCACCTACCACAGCAGCGCCCACCACTGCCTCGCCTACCACAGCAGCGCCCACCACTGCGGCACCTACCACAGCAGCGCCCACTACTGCAGCACCTACCACGGCAGAACCCACCACGGCAGCACCCACCACTGCACCGCCTACCACTGCAGCACCGACCACGGCAGCACCCACTACAGCAGGACCCACCACTGCAGCACCCACTACGGAGGCACCTACCACAGCAGCGCCCACCACTGCAGCACCCACCACTGCAGCACCTACCACAGCACCTACCACTGCAGCACCCACTACGGCAGCACCTACCACAGCAGCGCCCACCACCGCAGCGCCCACCACGGCAGCGCCCACCACAGCAGCGCCCACCACTGCAGAACCTACCACAGCAGCGCCCACCACTGCGTCGCCTACCACGGCAGCGCCCACCACTGCAGCGCCTACCACGGCAGCACCTACCACTGCAGCACCTACTACAGCAGCGCCCACCACTGCAGCACCTACCACAGCAGCGCCCACCACTGCAGCACCGACCACGGCAGCACCCACTACAGCAGGACCCACCACTGCAGCACCCACTACGGAGGCACCTACCACAGCAGCGCCCACCACTGCAGCACCCACCACTGCAGCACCTACCACAGCAGCACCTACCACTGCAGCACCCACTACGGCAGCACCTACCACAGCAGCGCCCACCACCGCAGCGCCCACCACGGCAGCGCCCACCACAGCAGCGCCCACCACTGCAGAACCTACCACAGCAGCGCCCACCACTGCAGCGCCCACCACGGAAGCACCTACCACAGCAGCGCCCACCACTGCAGCACCGACCACGGCAGCACCCACTACAGCAGGACCCACCACTGCAGCACCCACTACGGCAGCACCTACCACGGCGGAACCCACCACAGCAGCACCCACCACGGCAGCGCCTACCACGGCAGCACCTACCACTGCAGCACCTACCACAGCAGCGCCCACCACTGCAGCACCTACCACAGCAGCACCCACTACAGCAGGACCTACCACTGCAGCACCCACTACGGCAGCACCTACCACTGCAGCACCTACCACAGCAGCGCCCACCACTGCCTCGCCTACCACAGCAGCGCCCACCACTGCGGCACCTACCACAGCAGCGCCCACTACTGCAGCACCTACCACGGCAGAACCCACCACGGCAGCACCCACCACTGCACCGCCTACCACTGCAGCACCGACCACTGCAGCACCTACCACAGCAGCGCCCACCACTGCGTCGCCTACCACGGCAGCGCCCACCACTGCAGCGCCTACTACGGCAGCACCCACCACTGCAGCACCTACCACCACCACGGAGACACCATCACCACCACCGCCAACCACCTCCACATCAACTTTGCCGGAGGTGTCGACTACAACTTCTTCGGTCCCAAAACCATACTATTCTCAATACCGACGCCATCGGCGCATCCTTCACAATCGTCGTATCCGCAACTACCGTCGCATTCATGGCCATCGTCGCCATCATGGCTACTACGACTACGCAGGACCTACGGAAGAACCCAGCACCACAACAGAAGCACCCACCACCACCGCCACCACAACCACGACGACCACGACCACAACCACAACCACCACCACCACCACCACCACCACCACCACCACCACCACCACCACCACCACCACCACCACCACCACCACCACCATCAATCCCACAACAACTGCGCAAGAGTTGTCGACTACAACTCCTTCGGGCCCCAAACCATACTATTCTCAATACCGCCGCCATCGGCGCATCCTTCACAACCGTCGTATCCGCCGCGACCGTCGCATTCGTCGCCATCGTGGCTACGACTATGCAGAACCTACGGAAGAACCCACCACCACAACAGAAGAATCCGATCCATATTATGCATACAATCGCCAGTACAGCAAGGAGTGAGTCCGCGCCAGCTAGATGCAACTTGCGCATCATGGTAGCCACTGCGCATTGTCGGAAAATGTCATCGCCAATCGCTTTTTTCCACTTCCAGCACCCTCAATTTGAGAAGATTGTTGAAGAGTGGCTACCGCCAGACGCAATACCGTCGGGTTCATCCCTGACCATGCCGACTGTTTCATCTCTGACCATGCCGCAGGTGGCAATCTGCTAGAAGTGTGACAGAACATGTCGGACCCGCCTCTTCTGACATCTAAACGCAATTCTTGCTATCCGTGGTCTATCCTGTATCCTTGTATGTTCAACAGCCAAAACCATAGCCAGAAAAATGCAGGGCCAGCCGATTTGGGTTTCCGGCAAGCTGGACTGTGTGCGAGCGTTTGGGTTTCCGGCAAGCTGGACTGTGTGAGAGCGCATGCCAGTCAGAATCATTTCTGCTTTCTCCCACTAAAATGGTACACGTGACACGGGGTTTGTAGAGGAAATTCGCGTTTCAGGTAAATATTTGCTTGTCTGCTCTCACATTCCAGCGTCCATGAAGGACCTTTGTGCCTCGACTCAAGCAAAGCTTTTGAGCAGCCAGAAGCGCAGAGCAATGCCCATCTCAAGCAAAAACCAGAGGTCGCCACTTCTGGGATTCTCAAAAGAGGGTTTTTCCTTTGAACCACCCATCTAGAGGCTAGTTGTGGAGCCAAACGGGCTGGGCCAGGACTAGGAGAACTCGCCCCGGAGAACTCGACCCGTGCTCACAGCCAAATGGCTGTGGCTCAAAATTCAAGAGCTAGGGTTACGCGGTTTTAGTCTTTTGGCACCCATTTACCAGGGTGCCATTTTGGAATTCCACTTTTTTGAGCCATAGCCAAATGGCTGTGGCTCAAAAAACCGGAATTCCAAAATGGGTAACCCTGTCAAGTGGAAACGTGGACCACAACCTGCCGGTTTGCCCCTCCGATCGTTTAATTTTGAGCCACAGCCATTTGGCTCAAGTTTTGTCCCCTGGCACCCTCCGCAGACTGGGAGCTCTTGAGAACAGTCTCTCAGGCAGTTATGGGTCAAATTTCGGGACCCAAACAACCAATGTGCTTCTTTTAAGGTCTCCGTTTAAGCTTTAAGCCAGCCTAAAAAAGGGTATTCTCAAAAAAGACACAAACCCTTGCAAAGAGCCCCAAGAAGGGTTCCTTGGGTTTGGGTTTTGCAGTTGGTACCCTTTTCAGGTTTGTTTAAAGGGACACCAAGAGGAAAACCAGCATTTTGTAGGGTCTCCCCCATTTTTACACGGATGTTTTGGACTTTTTGGAGGCTATCAGGGTAGTAAGTATCACTAAGTGGCTAAAATGGCATCGGCCGGGGACATTTAATTTGCGGTGATGCGTTGAGTGTTGTGGGTGTCTCGTCCCCACAAGCCCGAGTTATAAAACCTTGACTCACACTGCTTCTGAGGGGGAATACAAACCGGAGCACCATGTTGGGTTGCGCCCTTTTTTTTGAGTGTTTCTCAAAATCAGGGCCCTGTCCAGCTCCAAACAGGGTTCCCTATTTTGAGTCACTTGGAAGGTACCAAGGGATAGGGCCATAGACGTCTCGGCCCCGTTTGCCCTGCCGCAGGGGCGGCCGATTGGTGAGGACGCCGCATTAGCACATGCATGAAGACAGGGCTGAACGTTGCGCGCGGAAGCCAAAGGAATAGCTTCCTCTTAGTTTTTCATATTCACCGTCTGAACACAGGTCCACACTTTTGACTTCTTTTTCTCCGGTTGCCCTCGCCGCGTTTGCCACGCTTCTTTTGCTTCGCAGGTGGGGTCCCAAGCGGCCATGAGAGAAGGAAAAGAGGAGACCAACTCTTTACCTTTGGTGCATTTTGCCAAGGGATGCTAGGACTTTAACTTTTTGCCAACTGGTGGATTTTCCATTAAACCACTAAACATTAAACTTTTAGCAGGGGAGCAGAAAGCAACCGAGTTACACTTGTCCCGGCCCGAACGGTTTAACGGAAGGGCAGCCGAACAAGCCAGCTCAAAATAAGGAAGCTGAAGCCAGCTGTTGCTTTCCTTTCGGTCTCTGAAGACCCTCTTTCTCATTTTGAGACATAGCGATGGCAAAGAAAGTTCTGAATTTTATACCGAGTCACACCTGAGGGTGCTCCAAAGTGCTTGGTTTTCCTAGGACTTGTTTTCTGGTTACATGCTGGGACGTGTAATGCTTACTTTTCTTGGTTCTGTGTGCGAAATGAAATTTTCGGGCGAGTTGTGCCGTGATAAAAGCTTCAGC